TGGACGGTAAAAAGGACATAATATTTATTTCTAGAAGATAATTTAACATGAACCAATACGCAAATATAGTTGGCAGAAACCACATTTCAGAAGATAATTCAGCTGCCGATAATAGCACAAGAATCGAGTATAAACTAGCAAGAATAAAGCATTGGTTTAAAGAATGGAAAATGATTCTACTAATTTTTTTTCTGAGAATTGATCCTCCTTTGTTCAAGAATAAAAGATGAAGAATCTGGGTAAGGCATTTGACTAGGTCAGCCAACGCTAGATCTTATGCCAAGAAAGAGGCTGCATTAACTAGGACACTGCAAGCCATTGCTGGTCCAAAACCTCTGTAAAAGTCCTTGATTCCCTCTGAAGTCAGAATCTGAAGTACTTTGGATTCTTATAATCATCAATCTGAATCATGCTTCTTTACAACGTTGGGTAGATAGATAGAAGGATGCTCCAGCTAGGCCTCCAGCAATGATCAGAGGAATCCTGAAGTGTCTCGACTTCCTGCAAAATACCACTTGAGGGCTTCGTATACTCCGAACAAGGCAGCAATATTACCAGGAACTTTGCGTTCCAAGATCCGAACCAAGCCTTTATATAGCCCTCTTAAGACTAGCTTCTCGCATGACATGCTTTGCAACATCGACAGGGTCCTCTGTACTTTGCAGCAGCAAATGAAGCAGCTGAGTCCACCAAGGCACTTTGGGCTTGCAGACTGTATTAAAGTGTCCTAAAAAGACATTAAATCAAACACATATTACATACAGATTTAACTCAAAGAATATGTCACGTATTGCTTTAACTCAAAGAATCAAGAATTTTTCCCTTTGTGGATGTACTTTTTCAAGTAATTAATTACATATATAACCTCCTAATTCTTTTCAATCAATGCCTCAATGGTGAACATTTAAGCCTGACTGTACCAGAAACATTAGTTTCCCTAATGGACTTTACAGATACAATGCATATATCACCTATAATTAAGTCATTTGCATCTAGAACTTTAATGGTACAATCAATTTTCTGTTTACTATAGGTGTCTTGAGATATAGTGTCTTTAATGGTACATTAGTTTCCTTTTTACTGCACATGTCAAATTTTCCTTTTTACTGCACATGTCAAATGTAATTTTTGCAAGATCATTGAAATTTTTAACATCGAGCAAATATTGCAAATTATGGTTTAGGTGTTAAAGCCTACAATTGGAGGACAGGACCAATTTATGCTATACCACAGGTGAGTGTCAATAGTACCCAGAAGATTGGATATGGATGTTCAATGCATGCATATTATTAATTCTATTCATCTCATCATCTTTTTCCTCACTTCGATAAATTCCAAGTTAACTTTAATGGGTATATCTAACTGAGAAGGGTCTTAAACAAAACCAATTTGCAGTTTTACTAAATTAATCTCTATACAACTTACATAAAACTGACATATGATGATACTAAATTAAATAAATAAAATATTACTTATATATATATATGAACTTATAAAACACAAGTTTTATAATAACTTATCGATTTACAAGTTCAGAACAAGGTGTGACTAAATGAACAGGTCGGAAGCATGTAAGCTATTTCAAGATTGGAAAAAAGCAAAAGGAAAAAAGGAAATAGTTTAAGATTTCACTAATACTTGTCAACAAAATTGAACAAGTACAAAAAGAAAAGGGCGAAAGGAAAAAAATCTGAATAAAAAGATTCAGAAGGCAAAGACAGTGACTCGATAAATAATCAGCACAGACAACAGCAGTGGTTTCCTCTTATTTAACTGAAACATACCAAGTGATATTACCTATCTTAAGCTGAAATGTTAAGCATAAGTAAACAAATGCCATCTGTTGCATGCAAAAAGACCAGACCAAAACTTAGCAGCACTAGAGATTGACTTGGGTTCTTTTTAAGACCCACCTCTTTGAAATTTTATTCTCAAACTTTGATAACAATGTATACTAACTCAGGTTAAGAAACAACATGCTAGTGAAAGCTTTAGTTACACGACTTACTAAAGCCAAAGTCCTTTAAAATGATGGAAAAGTTCAAAATTTTATCCATTTTCAGTTTCCTGAAGACAAATCAATGTTTAACTTGACAACCTGTACCATATAGTGGCCTGTGTGTAAATAATTCTAGCAATTGAAAGAAAAAAGAACATAACTTTGTCCATCCATTTTCAATGAGCAATTATATTCTGCTATATAAAGATACTGTAAGAATCAACAACTACCATATCTCCTAGTCAGTGACATCATGGATTTTTCCTACTTAACCAGCTGATCATGACATTGGCAGTGCACCAACCAAAAACCACCCATAAAAAAGGAAAAGAAAACATAATAACAAGAGACTGCTGCAAGAATAAACAACACATGGAAATTTATGTAGCTCTGCCTCTCCAATGATGTGTCTTCACTATACCTGTTAATGCAGTTGTGAAAGAGTAAAATAATAAAGAAGAATAGAAAAAGGGTACTTCTACTGAATGGGCATATGGAAGATGGATTACACAAATTGTGAAGGGCGATTTTCCTAGAAAATACCCATATTTTGGGTATTTTCAATTGGTAGCCTCATTTTGTTTTTTTCTCAAATAGTATCCCTAAATTGAAAAAAAAACCGTCCAACACTTCTCTCAAAAAATTTTCCATAAATTACAATGTTTTGGTTTGTTACAATCAGGGTTTGCCGTACCGAGCCATACCGCCCGGTACGAGCGGTATGTACCGGTCCGACAGGTTTTCGGTACGCGGATCGACTATTACCGTTCCGAGGTACTGTAGCACTGTAGCAGTGCTACAGTACTCGATACACCCAGGTGTACCGCTCGGTATACCGTACCGCGCCCAGGTCGAAATACTGGTACGGTACGGTATTGCAAACCTTGGTTACAATGTTTTTGACCACCATAACAAAAATACTGTAAAGCCTACTTAAAAACACTATAAATGATCTAAATAAACTCCTAACCTTAATCAAACTAACTTGAAGGCTAAAATATGTTATTATAATGATCTATGAGCAATGAAAACCAAAGAGGCACGATATGATGTCACGTATAGTATTTTTCAATAACATTTATAGTGTTTTCAGTACATTAATAAAATACTATAAACGTTATTGAAAAACACTATAAACGGGCCAAATAAAAATACTATAACAATTGAAAAAGGATTAAACAAATGAACGAAAAAATTGACAGGAAAACCTTTGAGGGGTATTTTGGGTTTTTTAAATTAGGAGTATTGTCTAGGAAAAAAAACAAACGAGGAATACCTTTTAGAAAATATCCAAAATATGAGTCTTTTCTAGAGAAACACCCAACTGTGAACTAGGGCTTGTAAAAGTAATTTATGAAACAAAATGCTAAAAATATCTCAAATAGTGATACAAGAACCAAATATATCAGAAAATAAAATAAAGGGGTTCGGGTCCAGACCAAGTTGGAACAATTCAACAAACACCTCAGATGCACAATTTCTTGAAGTCGAAATCCTCCTACATTCTTTTCCCTTTACCAAAACTACTTTTATCTTGCCCGCAAAATCTTGTTTTCAGACAAGAAAAAGTAAAAAGAAAAGCGTTCCTACCTGTCGCTTGGTGCTTCACCGAAACAAGGGATTTGTTAGAAGTTGCACGCATCTATAGAACCATCCCCCCCCATCGTGACGCAGCACTTTTGTCTCATCCCTCATGCGAAAAGCCTTTCAGAAATCATCATCAGGAGAACACAAGAAGCGTTTAATAACACTACCCAGCCTAGGCAAAGCTCACGCCTTCCGTTGAAGATGCAAAGATGTAAGCAAGCAAAACAAGAAGGAGACCTTTACTCGATCTGTTTAACAATCTCCCACTCCCCAAAATTTGTCACATTCTCGCGAAACGAAATCCAACTTACGGATCCCAAGTCGGCAAGAATGAGAAACACACTGTTCGATGATCCAACAAAAGTCCAGTTTCGAACCGCAGCGGGACAGTGGAAGAAGCGCAGTCGGAAAAGTACCATCGAGACCCTTCATCACAAAATGTAATGGAGGACGAAAAAGATGATAGATTGCAATCCGGTCGATAAGATAAGAAGATAGAGAAGAAAATAGGAACACCTTTATTGAACACAAAGAGGAGGTGCGCCAACTCTCTCTCTCTCTCTCTCTTTCTATGTGAGCGTAAGATCATGATCCATGATGAGAAAATAGTCTCTGTCTTTGTCTTCTTTCCTTTTTCTTCTCTAGTTTTTTCTGTCGCAAGTAGTTAATACCTCGTTACTGTAATTTTTCTCCTCGTTACTACAGTCCGCACTCTCCCGTAATTAGATCTAGGGTTTTACTTGAAAAAAAAAAGAACTGTAGGTCGTAAATTATTAAATCCCACTATGGACTGTCAGTCCAACAGAGACGAAACCATCACCGGTCTCATACTCCTAATTAAACATAAACTTCTAAATCAATTAAATTTCTAAATTTTAATTTAATTCTAATCAAATTTAACTTTTATCTCTAACGTTCCTCTTAAATTTCATACCTTGTAAAGATATCTATAACATTTTTTTTCTTCAAAATTTATAGTATGATAATTTCATTCCTCTCTTGATGACTACATTTTAAGATGATTTTAAAGTTAGAAACTTGTCATAAAAAAAATTGATCTAAATTCTTCTAGTATATTTCTAAACTAAATATCTTAGGATGAATATGATTGCTCATAATCCTAAAAAGAAATTATAACCATATATACTTTTTCACTATTAGGATTCTTGCTTGGAGATAAAATTCTATTTGATTCTCCACGTATATGCTGATCAAGTTGGCTCAATAAATGGTTACAATCAAGTACATAATACTCCAAAAATCTATTTGTAAAATATATTGTCAACCTTCTAACCACTGCCATCGCTTCTTGCTAATTTTGAACTTTTGAGAATCTCTATAGTATATTTTTTTGAGAAATAATTATTTTTATAATTTGTTAATCAATTATAGTGCCAAGATAATATTTCATAAAACCTAAGTCAAACATCTCAAAGTTCTTCTTATTGGAACTCTTGAATCTTGAATCATGTCAATATTACAACATTATCTTTGTTGTCAAACTTTATTTTGAAATAAATGATTCATTAAAAGAAGTTCCTGATTATATAATATCAATATATAATCATATCAAACTTTACATTCTATTACTAATCACATGATTACTAGCTCTAGTATTCAAGTACCAGCTCTAGTTTGATTTAGAGACAACTAAGGTCTTTCTTCACAAATAATCCCAAGTATTTAAGTTGTATTAATCTTGTAAAACTGTGTTAGGACATTCCAACAATGGTCATCCGATACTTAAGTTAGTAAATAATTTAGATGATTCAGTTAACTTTTTAGGATAAAAAATTATGTTGAGAATATTATGAACATACCTAAGAAGCCCTTTTATAATAGGCTTTGGGTGCTTTACATCTATAATATGCGCTAGCTATAACGGTTGTGATGCACTTCCCTCAAACTTAACAATCCAAGGTGTAATAAAGTCTAAATCACTACACCATATGTTATTGATCACTCAACGGTGAGGTGTTAGCCACTTGATATTGAGGTGTCGACCACTTGATGTAGCGGTGTCAACCACCTAATATTACGGAGGTATCGATCACCTATTATTGAAGTGTCAGTCATTATGCCTCTATCACTCCCCACTACTTGTTAGCACGTCGTGTGTGTGAGATCGAGTCGAGAAATATCCTTCAATGGGTTATTGACACTTAGGTCCTCTTGAAATCGAAATACGTTTGGTTGAGTTGGTTATTCACCCTCTTACTGTGCTTATGAGTCAATTTGACCTCACATGTCATCGAAATACGTTGTGTGCTGATTTGGCCTCACATATTAGTGAAATGTATAATTCTTATAACATTATATTTGAGACTTATTTGTGTTGTGATTTGGCCTATCACAACACACTGATTTGGCCTCACATTTCAGTATAATTTGCATGTTCTTGCATAGGATAATTCCTATAACATTCATAACAGCAATTATTATAATTATAACATTATATTCGAGACTTATTTGTGTTGTGATGACTGCATGGTCCTCTTTATTGTTCAGGACCTTTATATTAATTATAACATCACTACTGTCTCTCCCTCTATCTTGCTGGGCACCTTTGGTTCTTGCATTAATCTCTTTCTTAGGGAGGGTCATCATATTCTAATGTTTTTTATTGCTGGGCTTAAATTCTTTGTTCATGGAACGGCAAATTCTTATTATGAAACTAAGAATCTTTTCTATAATTTTAACATTACTAATCTCTTTATCATTTAATTTTATTTTGTTTATGATCCGAGAAAAATAATCTGAAAATAGATTTAAGTTTCTTCATCTTATTTATACCTTATTAAATGTTATGAAGAATTGGTTTCACTGTTTTATAATAAGATTAAGAGTCTTTTGATCTTTACATTTGTGATCTTTCAACTCGCTATCTAATTTAGGGTTAAAGAGTTTTCTTCTTTACTTGGTTTCATTAAACTCTTATCAACAATATCTCAGTTATATATTTTGAGATCATAGTTTGGATTGGTAAGGCACATGACGTCGAAATATGTTATTGAGTGATGTCATGTCAACGATATAGATCTCCCCCACGTCGAAGTCCTAACAACCATCTCAAAATCTTCTCTCTACATATTCTCACTCTAAGATTTATTTTCTCCTTAATTTTTCTCTATAATTTCTCTCTCTCTCTCTCTCTCTCTCTCTCTCTCTCTCTCTCTCTCTCTCTCTCTCTCTCTTCAGATTTTGTTTACTATATTCCTCTCCTTTCATATTTTTTCCTTCATATTTTCTCTCTTATAGCCTTTGTTTCTCTAACATAATATATAAGAGAATCTATTGCCCTCTGCTGATACCATGTTAGATCTCAAACCCAGAAAATAAAAAAAGAAAGAGGAAGATAAAAAAAATCTCAAACCCACAAAATAAAAGAAGAGAGATGAAAATGAAAGAAGCAAATAAAAAAAAGGAAAGATGGACATTTTTACTAAAAACACCAAGTAAGCTAACTCGAAAAGCAGCAGACACGAAATCACCAGAGTACGGGCTACTCAAGATGATATCAGAACAACAAAGTATGAAGCTGATGCACAAGCTGATATCGGAACAACAAAGTATGACTATGAACAGTAACATGTACAAAATACCGCATGACTTTTGTTCTCTTATATACAAACATCCGTCACTTGTCACTCTCAAACCAAAAACTAAAAAAAAGGAAAAAGAAGTCAAGAAAAGATCTTGTATTTTACAAACAGATGTGCAAGGGTTTTGATGCTACCCTAGGCTTGATCCCCAAAATAGTTAGGCAAATAATGTACAAATTCTATTAGATGCAGCCGTGGATTCATGTATCATGAAAGCCACCAAATAGATTCAGAGTGGTGTTGATGTGATGTTGATCTTCTTCTCGAATAGGATTTTGTATCCTTCTTCTCTTTGTTGCTGGAGAGGCAATAGAGAGAGAGAGCATTGTTGATACATCATGGTCGTCATCTTCAGAACCAGATGGTTTATCTGGTTCGCCTTTGTCAACCGAAGGAAAAAACAATGGGAACATTCCCTCCTCTGATGGGAGCTTCTTACCACCCAAAGCTAGTTCAAGATCAGGGGTACGGGATCCTGACAAGTCCTCATCGACTCGAGGAAGGAAATACCTTGAGTTCTCCACCATCTTGGTCCCAGCAGGGAAGGAATCCTGTGGAAAGAAGCACCTTTCAGTACATATTGAGCTCTCAGGCACCTCGTTGTTGTAGTTGATACCATCTCTTTGCTGTTCATCTAGGTAGGTGGCTGAAAATGGTTGCGTCGTAGGTAGCAACCTACATTCCGTACTTTGTTCTCTTAAACTGATAACATGACCTTCACTGTCACATTTCATTCTTTTGTGTTCCCGACCACCTTCTAGAGAGACAAAGGTTGCCTCCTGCAACATATTAGGTATGGTGCTCTTTGATGATTCACCACAATATACCGTTGGGAAAGAGTGCACACATTTAGTGCTAGGCTTTGAACCCCAGATGGAGAAATTTTCCTCCGACTCATCCTCTATTTTCACCAACCTCTTTTTTCCCTTACTCCCCTCCGTCCCTTCCTTACCTGCTTTTTGAAGAAGTTCAAACTTATAACAACAGTACAACGGATAAAACAATAAACATGTGGAATAACCAGTTAAGAAAGAATCACCTTCTCTGAAACCAGAAGCAGCCAAGTACTCCGGCAATGATTCATCAAGTTTTTGTTGTACACTATTTGCAAAAACATGAGGACTTTTTCCAACTTCAACATCAGTATCCTGCAAAAAATATTGGAAAGCTCTAAATTGCAATGCGATATTGAGCCAAATAAAAAAGTGAAACACAAAGAGATGGGCATTTCAAGTGCAAAAAGATTTTGACACTACAAAATACAGTAATAATATTCTAAATCCAGAATACTGAGACAATTTTGGTAAAAGACAATGAAAACACGATTGCAGATTGATCATAGATGAAAAGTCAATCACAGTGAGCTGCATCTAGCATGCAAAGCATGATGAGGAAACATAAGTGCCATTTGCAGAATTAGTACATGTGGTTTACAGGATGTATTTTTCTTGTCAACTACAATTGGTGATTGACAAGATGAGGAAACACAATTACCATTGGTAGAGAGGAGAATATCAATCAGCGGATGTTGACAATTTCTTTTAAATGCACTCTGCACCATTACATCTTTTGTCCTGCTTGCAAATTCACCCTTGGAATATGTGGATACTTGTTTACAAACTCTGTATAAAGTAAATTTAATTTCATATTGCTGACAATTGCAGCATGGATTTCCAACTCCCATGTCGGTAGAATCAACTATCACAATACTCACAAAATAGCACGCTATACACAATCTTAGTTTGATCTGGATGACCTCCCAGAAATTGTGAAGAGTAAATAATAATTCTTTATTAATGATATCTATAAAAGTGGGTCAATTGTAAGTAGCAACATTCCAGGTATTAAAATCTGGGTCCAGCACCAGTGGTGGTCCCAAGTCCTCAGACAGATCAGTACAGTAGATATGCACCTATAATGTGTCAAAATGGGTCAGTTCAGATTAGAGTGCTCAACCATACCAGTGTCCAGCCCAACCAGTTCCAACTCAATTTTTTTATCAACTAAAACTTTTTTGCCAATTTTTAGTCAATAATAAATAAAAATATGATTATACCATCTACTGCATACTGTGCCAAAACTACGCTGGTGAATGATCACATGATACGTGTTATTATAACAGATGAAATGCCATACCTCATGAATGGATAAATGTGACTCAACAAAAGGTGGTCAACAGCTTGGTAAGATCAAAGTATCTAACAGTCTGATAAGTATCAAAAATGAACTCACCATATTACCACATGAATCCAGGCAACACACCTCAAATGTAAGGTTACATGCATATATCCCATTACATCAATATGGGTTATAGTTATGTAATTTATGTTACTTCTCATGAACGATGCATGGTGTTTCTTCCACCTGTATAAGCATGATATGATCTGCCATACAAGATAAAACTCAGAAACAATTAAACATATAAAATAATATCTAATAGCTATACATCATAACCAGTCCAATGCTGTTTCTAATTCTACCCTTCCTCTAGAAAAGAAATTAGGACATGACTGTGCAGGCAGTACAGAACTTGATACAACTGACATAAAAAGCAATTTAGTATCTAGAATTGAACTAGGTGCGTACATGTCAATGTTATTACAAAGTCAATATTTGAGCATTATTGAATATAAAGACATCTAACACAGAGCAATAAACCAAAAAAAAGCAAAAATCACTGTTTAGACCTTGCTCTTGTAAAGGAAAAAGAAATAGTACCGATTTAGTTCCATTGCTTTTCGATGCTGGACATATCTTTTGATAATCAAATGAGTAGAGATAATGTGAAGCATGATCTGATACTCCATTACTCTCTGTTTCAACAGTCACCATATCCAAAGAACTTTTAACCGAAGGGAAGTTCTCTGCATTGTGGGTATCATTGTCGGGAACAGTAGATGAAACAAACTGACAATTATCAATGGAATTGAATTTCAGTGTCCTGGCACCAGGTGTTTCATCATAAATAGAAAATTCTTTTGGTGGATACTGTTGGAGATCATGCTTCTGAAAAGTAGATAGTTCACAGGCATGATAAGAAGATAATTCTTGAACTTGTGACTCTAAATTTATCTTTGATCCAGAGGACTCCTGCTGCAAATTGGTGTAAGGTTTTGAAGAGTCCTGTTTCCTTACTTTGAAGATGCCCCAAAGAAAAAATAACATGTTCCAACCTAAAAAGCAGCATGCATAATGTTCCAACAGAGAGAATAATTCAGATGTGATTAGAACCCTTAGAAAAACATAAATTTGCAAAATCATGTCTACGAAAAGAAAACCAGAGCCTTTCACATGTGCATTATGTTTAAGCATGAAAAGCATAATTAATACTTACGTTGTGAACTCTCAGGTAGCACATTCGATGGAAATATAAGAAGCTCCACCTCATTGATGCTCCCTTTGAAGGCTAAATCATTTTTTTGGGCAGCATCCAATAACTTCTGGTAAGATTTCTCATAACTGTAAAAGGAACAAGAACAAGATGGCTTATAAAGCATTATTCATTTAAAAGTAAATTGAAAATTTCTGCAATCCAGACCTCTCAGCATCTTTAGCAAAGAAATATAGACCAATATTATCTTCTTTAGGACCAGTCTCTTGAAACTGCAATGGCCACAAGCTAACCCGAGGAACTTCCTCCAATTGGATATTGCAAGGAAATCGGCATGCTACTTCATGCACTTTAGGCGATGCAAAATTTGATAAGTGAGCTTGAATTCCTTCAACAACTTTGGGAAATCTTCCAATTCTTAATATCTCAAAAGCACCCCTGCAAATAAAAAAAATGTGAGAGAAAAGATATATTTTACATTTCAAATGCTAAAAATATATGCTCTAGAATACACAAATATAATCTGAGAAGTTGAGGGAGTCAGACTGTCATACTGCCATATGAATTTATGCTCTGGAACTACAAGAAATCTGAAGTCAGTTGTCAGTGGAGAAGGGTGATCGGGCAAAATTTGAGCTGAGGACTTCTCATTCAACGCATCTGGATTTATTGGATTGACATTTAAATCCCCCACCCCAGGAACATATGAAGATTCAGTCAAGTGTTTGGTTTGCTCTGCATCAGATGCACTATCTGTTCTGCCATTGTCAGTGTCAGAAACTCTCAAGATCACTTTCCCATAAGGTGCTCCTTCTAATGGCAAGTCTTTCAGGCAACTTGAACTTGTCAAAGAGCTTCTGGAAGAATCTTCACAAATAATATTGTTTTTCAACAATTTACACTCAGACTGATCTACTGTTCTACTCATCTTGTTCTTTGAGATTGCTGCTTTGAGAGCATCTTTCCACTTATTTCTCTTATTAGTCCCATCTACCAAACCCACATCAACAGAAGGCTTTGCAGCAGACATATTAGGCCTGTCAATTTGACCGCACTTTGCTTCTGTTAATTTAACATGACCAACTACATGATTAACCCCTGTAACAGCTGACCTTGAAGTTCCAGAAAAATCCTTGGTTGTATCATCTAAGTTACCCTGGTGGGAGGAGTCTATAGAAGGAGAAACACTGCTTCTAACTTCACCATCATCACTGCATGATACATAAGTGGCAGCAGAATTCACAAGAACAGCTTCCTTGTTGACAAATTCGCCAGGCTTTTTATTCTCAGAATCACAAATCTCATTGCTTTTCCATTTAAATGATGACTGCTTTTTCACTTCCTTGAACCCTAACAAGTCAATAAAATGAAAAAAAATAGTATTATTAATGTTTAAAAACAAAATCATTAGCTGATCATAAGGAGATGCCAACTAAAAAGGTGCTCTAATTGAAGAGGACTGTTTACCAAAATTATTTTCTCTATCAAATCCTTTGCTACTGCAAAGGATGCTAAGCTCAGACTTGTTACTTGCATTGCTGTTAGGTGGTGCAATCTTCACATCCAGCTTTGGAAGAGGTTTTCTACCAACTGGTGGTGGACTGATAAGTTGACAATCAAGATCAAAGGAGCTCTTTCTTTCCATAACACCTCTTTCTTTATTTGGATTGAAGCTTTTAGGGTCAGCTCGAGGTGTTTTAAGCGACTGAGCTTTGATTAATGATTTGACATTGTGATGACCTGAGCTCACACTCTTGCATGATGCAGATCTGTTGACGGTTCTGATAAGCATCTGCTTTGTGTTACTTGACGTAGATTCTTTAGCTAGCTTTTGTGAGACACCTTCAACCAATTGCTTAACTTTTGGTTCCGCACTCTTCTTAAAAGAAACTTGCTTCGAGAGAAACCCTGCACACACGAAACAACAAAAATATGTTAAAATGCTAGTGTTTCACAAAAACTTCTGCAAAATCAAATAAATCATATACAGATTCAATGAAGCAAAAAGAAAAAACTTACCCCTAGGTGAATAAAGCTCCCTTCGAACATTTGAAGACTTAGAATCCAAAGTAAGAGAATGAGAGGTCTGGGAACTTTTTGTACATTGATCTCCAGTCAATGAAGCTATAATGGTTCCCTTTGTACCAGCCATATGCAAGTTTTTAAATGAATTTTCACGATCCAATGTAAGCAATCGAGAGGTCTGGGAACTGTTTGTAGAATGATCTCCAAGCGTTGAAGCTATGTTGGTTTGTTTAACTTGAGCCATATGCAAGTTTTTAAATGAACTTTCACGAGAAAATTTTGTAGCTATCCTAGGACTGGCTGTCCTTAAAGGTTCATCACTTGTTTCAGAAGCTTTCTTTTTAGTAACTGGACCTACGTCCACTCGGTCCATCTGCTTTTTGCTGGTTGTCCTTGGACTTTGAATTTGTTTACTGGACCCACATGCTTCTGGATTGGTTGACCTGGTGTCCAACTTTGGTGAACTCTCAGGATTCACAGAGCTTCCAAAATTCTGGATCTTCTTATTCAAATAACATATATTTGATGTTCCAGAAACAGACTCAGCTTTCTTCATCTTTTTTATTTCAACATCCTCCTTTTTCTGGCATTCTTCACATAGCCAATCTCGTTCAGGAACTTTATCCAACATAATTTGCATGCAGTAACTAATTAACAGTAAACAATTGCTTAGTGCAAGAGAGATCCAAATTGCAGAATAGACTTTTAAGAGAGAGAATTACAAACAAAAGATCTTACGTGTGCTCGGCACCATCGATGCATCTACTACAAGAAGCAAGAAGATCCTCACGACCAGCATCTCCACATATATCACATACGTTTACCTTCATCACAATAAAACAAATATGTAGCCAGCATAATTAAGAAAACTACAAACAGTAAAAAGAGAACTAGAATCAAAGATAAACAGCACCCAAAAATAAAATAAGTACAACATTGAGAATCAGCATGAGGAAAGTTGTCACTAAAATAAGACACAAATGACATTTGACTGCCACAGCATCAGGGGGCTAGAGGCTGAGTGTAGCTTTGTTAAAACCACAATAGTGAAAACTAAACTTTGGCATCAGCTTTGAAGGTCTAGTATCATGTTGACATTTGGTTGTAAAATTCCACCTTGAAGTACTCCTGATTGCAAATAGCACCAAGTGATCAACCATATATTTCTACATTGACGATTTATTTACACAAGAACTCAACATTAACTAGACATTTCTACAATGACGGGTGGCTCAAGAAATCAACATTAACTAGACATTTATTTCACATACATCACTCATCTACACCACAAAATGCCATAGCATAGATACCTGTGCAAAAATCATATAGAAGATGGCAATCAAATAAGTACAATCTTAAAGGTCACCACACTATGTAAAGATTACAGATCAACTTCGTTAGCACTCTGCAAAAAAATAGAATTGAGGCTCATAATTTTTACAGGCACAAAAAAACACTTAAAAATGAAGAATTATAAAGATGTTTTGCATATAGAACCTTGTGATTATGTTTACTAACCATTGAAGTTAACAAATTACCTTAAATAAAAGAATATATTTATAACAACTTCCCCGTTGCTTCTTTTGTGGCATGCAGAATCTTGGTTTTATTGCTTGACTAGATTAAAAAAAAAAGATGTGCCTACTAAGCCATGAATCAAGTTTGAAATTTGATCATTAAGCTGATTTGCTGGAAAGCTCTACCTGATATAAGTGTTTAACAGCGAACAATTTAACAGTATTTTGAATGTGCAAAATCTCGAAGCCCCTGGCTTCTTTGAAATTGTCCTACAGCATCGATTGGTTAAGAGGGAATCTGGATCAATGCATGATATCTGTTCCGTAAGGATCAGATTTAATTATTATTTGTTTTAAAGGCAATCTTGATAAGCTTATGTAACTTTGTGTTATGCTGCATCAGTTCCTTCCTCTATGCTTTCCTATGTTTTGGCTAAGAAATGATAATCTATCAAATATCAATTCTGTCCTTTATGCTTTCCAAAGTTTCAGCTAAGAGATTATCATCTCTCAAATCCTAGAAATATTTTGACCATGGTTAGTCTTACCGGGCCGTACCAATGTACTGACTAGTTGTTGGTACAATATGATATGTACCAACTCACTGACACATGGTACAATGAGACATACCAACAAACAGATATGAACCGCCCATACCGGGTGGTACGCCGTGATATAGAGAACCTTGATTAACATAACAAAAGATTTAGAGTCTTGCATTACTTTTTCACAAGTAGAAAGAGAGAGAATTTATGACTTCCTTGTACTCTAGAATTCATATAATTTCCAGGTCGATGCACATGCATTTTTACGGAACCTGATGAAGAAATAATAAAGTACTTACATCATACAACATGCTCTCCGGTTCAGAAGCTTGACCTGTCCCAGACTTGTAAAGATTGGATTTGGATCTGTCAAAGTCACTAGCAGATTCAAAGAATTGATCTCCATTCTTGAATTCCCCAGAAGACGTGTTACTTCCGATTTGAATTGATTTAGTAGCTTCACTGTCAGAGAACACGACAGACTTCTGTCCATGATTGCCACCAGCAGAAAGCAGTACCTGGTATGAGGATTCAACATCAGCCACCAAGCAATCATGAGATTCTCCATGGACTTGGGATGGTTGATTTGCCTCTATACCATTGGAGTCAGCATTATGACAGGAAATAAGATCACTTCGACAAGGGGAATTTGAATCTAACTTTGGAGATATGTTCTTCATCAATGAAGTGTTTGTAAGGACAGAATTACTAGGAAGGCCTACATTAAGAGGACCAGGGCTCTTCTTGCGAGAAGATTCTTGAGGGAATGTGATCAGCTTCCTTGATTTAACCTGGTTTGCTTCCATATTACAACCACAAGATTCATGAGTGGTTTCGACTTGAATCACCATTTCAGTTTCTCTGACACCGAACTTACATGTTGACAACAAACTGCCTGATCTCTTCTCCAGTTCCAAATTATGATCTAAGCCTAGCATATTGGTATCTCCAGCCCCAGTGATGCACGAATCATTATTCGTGTAGCATCTGGACACATTGTGCTCTCCATCCAGTTCACCATGGTGTACATCAGCTCTTGAATAGCGGCATGACATTCCATCACCTGTAACAGGAATACCTCTTCCAAGAAACTTATATCCCTCAACTGCTTCAACAGTTGAAATCTCAGGGGGTATGTCAACATCTTCAGAAGTATCATATGTAAAAGAACTCCTCAATGTTGCTTTACTCTCTGCATTTTCAGTATATGAATCATTACTTGAACTTCCACTTAGCAAGTTGCTTGTTTCACTAACTGCAGTCTGCAGATCATCACAGAACCTACTCTTGATACGAGTGAAAGAACAATTATCTGCTTCTTTCATTTGAAATGTATTATCAGAGGATCCACAATCAACATTTGACTCCATTGCTACTGCAATACGATGCATACAAGAGGAGCAAGGAGCAGAGCAAACATTACACGTCCCAGATTCCACCCTCATATCACCTACAAATATAAGTCGGCTTTGATCTGCAAATTTGCCCTATTGACCACGAATTGATTCAGAGTCATCATTAAATGAATGAGTACAGAAGAAAGGTGTAGCAATATATGAAATGAAAAGACAAATGAAATTATAAAATTCACATAAAAGGCAGCTGAATTTCAAAAGGTCCCTTCCACCAAAGGAAGCGATATCAAACTTTAAAAGAATCAGCACTAGAAAAACTCCATGCACAATAAAGAACACATGCATGAAGTATGCAGTGTATTCAGCTGTATACATCATTAAAATTTAGAGACCATAAAACAGAGCCCTGGTTATTTCTGAGTCATCACCTACCTAAGGACTTCCAAACTTGTTTCTTTGATGCAGCCAACTCAATTTGACATATCACACACATTTACAATCTCAACATAAATCAAATGCAGAGAGTATTCACATCCAGTAAACAACTCTTTATGCCTTGGATCAGTCTAATTTTACAAGTTCTAAGGTCCTATTACCCACTTAGTATTAGCTTGCTCACATGTGTTCTAATTTGACAACACATGTAGTAAGAAAAAGAATCTGGCACATATGTAAACAATCTAAGTGTCTTCAAAAACATGGCACAAGGTTGCCTGGCATAATCAGGAAGACAGCATGACTATTAATGAAGAGATTTAACCATCTATTACTGGATACCTAGTGGTCCACTGTTTGAGAATCCCTAGTAGAACTTCATTTTTTTGTTTTTCAGTTTAATCCTCATCACTTTGTTCTTGAAATCTATTCTCATCCTTCTCCAATGATAAAAATGAGCAAATATGTCCACTAAGAATCAAGCACGATTGGTTCAACTAACCGCACATATGAGGGTTAGACACTGCAACACCAATTAATATTGTGATGTTGAGAACAATCTGACAAAAGAACTCAATAACAAGGGGGAAAAAACAAACTACTATCTTAAAGTCAAATAAGAAAAGAGGAATTCTTTTAGTATAAAAAATACAGAAAAACATATTATCAAGGCAGGTCTCTTTACCGAATTCATCCTCTGACGTCCACGATCTGCCTCCTCCAAAGGTCCTTCGATGTCAGAATTTGTCTTGATGATTGATGCCATCTAAAAGGAAATCAGAATGCACATCACATACCGCATCAAGAAACCAATAACAAGAGGAGAAAGGACAGTGTGAACAAAGCAAATCTCGCATAAATGCGAAGATGCACATGCGTCGAAACGAAAGAACAGTGCAACTGTTACCATATTAACCATATTAAAAAGCAACGAGACATGCATCTAAAATCAAGAACCAAACACCACCGGTCAGGTGAATAAGAAACAGAACACACGGGAAAGAGATAGAATCTTTCTCATCGGAAAACAAAATGAATCTTGAAATCCCCCAACTTCGTCAAGAAATCCAGTCGTCGCCAAAAACCTAAGTAACCATCACGATCCCCTAGCAAAATAATGAAAAAAAAGAATTCCAACAGCAACAACCCACCACAAAGAATCATCTGAATCCACAGACAACAACGAAATGTCCTAATCTCCGAAGAAAAACGATCCCTTACATCCCCAACGCAGAATCCCGATCTTGTTCAATAAAGAAGAAATCATTACATGCCTCCGGCTCAGCAACAGTGTTCTTCAGATCGTCCAGCGGCTTGAGGCTCCGCTCCGGCCGTTTCCTCATCCTACCACCTCCAGCAGGAGTACTATCGAGGACGTCGCATCTCCACAGCCGGCCTTACGGAGATCGGAGAGAACGAGAAGGCAAGCAAGCAGGCTAAATCGTACGCCGTCGGCGATATCGAGGGCCCCGTCAGCGACCGCAGAACTCCGCCGGATCTAAACCGAGGGTTTCGACTCGTGGAATCCACGGCGGAGACAAGACAACAAAGGGGAAGAGGAGTAGACGAGAGAACGGAAGACGGGAGTGTGTGCGAAAGGCGAAAGGGGGCGTGGGAGTGAGGGCCCTCCCTCGGCTGCTATCTAAAGTTTAGGAAACAGAAAACAAAGAAACAGAAATCAAATATAAGAAACAAAAACAAAAAGTGTTTCCTGCATGCAAACTCCTTGGCCTTGATATTTTCGTACGTGGGAGCGGCGTGGCGGTGGAGATGTTGACGCGTGGTGGGCGATGATTCAAGGAGACTGCCGTGGGGCGGTGAAGGGGATGAGGAATCCGATGAAGGCGTGGCTCATCTTTGAGATTCGTGCTCCCGGCTGGTCTTGGCCGTACCCGTGTTGGCGACTCCCGACATGGACGGCGACGGATCGTTCGGATGTATGGCCTCTCCCCAAAACTTGTGTCGCCATCGTTGACGGCGTCCGCACGCCTACCTTTGACCCGAAATCATGGGTCCCGCATAATTGTCCAATCAAACAAAAGGTATAGCGAGGGGAACGACCCCGATGGTTTGTAAAAAAAGCCATGATCTTTACGGGGATGAGGCGAGTAGCGCGTGGCTATGGGCTCTTCTTGCAGCACGGCAAAGAGCATGTCCGCGAGACGTGTCGGAATCTCCACCGTCCGATCATGTGGCTGGATTGTGATGACGATACGAGTATGATACGTGAGGTTCCCATACGAGTTCATGTCAGTCTCACACGAGAACCACTGGGGAGCCAAAAGTTACTGAGAGCGACTCGATCGTGGTACGTGTATTTGGACTCACTAAGAGAGAGAGAGAGAGAGAGAGAGAGAGAGAGAGAGAGAGAGCATACACGCCACAGAATTGACTTATCATAAAGAGTCGTGATATGAATGTGATTAAGATGATAACTTTGCGTTTGCTATCATCTGTCTTGTAAGGAAGGCCCCATGTCGATTCATATGGGGGCGTTATGGTTCGCAGTGCTTTGCATGTGTACATAAAGGAAAAGAAGGATCCGTGGTTTCTCGGGGGAATTGGCAATATGCATGCACTTGTGTTCTTTTCCTTCTCGTGCTTTTGATGATTTGATGCATGGCCGAAATCCTCCGGGGAAAAGAATAATAGGGTTCACCTCAAATAGAAGAAAGCTCCATAATAATAATACATATAAATATTAATTTTGTTGTTGTTCTTCTACGGCGTCTAAAGCAAAGTCATTAGTGATGTATGTGCATAAATAATTCATCTGATTATATTTACGCAATAGTTGTTTAAGTTAATTCGTCGTATCGATGTGTCGAAAGAGAGAAAGATGACTTCCAAATCAAAATAGATTAATAAATAAATGGCATATCAGATGGTTATTGTAACATTAATGTAGTTGACACTCTTTGCTTACGTCAATAAAAAAATTAAATATAAAAATCAATCTCTCTTTACTAAATCTAATTCTAAACGTAAAAAATCTGATCAATCCTCTCTATAGATTCATTAGAAAAAACCTAAGAGCACCCAATATGTCTTCCTTTATATTTTTACTTCTCATCGAAATTATTATACATAGTATATTTATAGAAATAAATCATAATTTATTGAGAACTCGTAATCTAATATTTAGTCCAAGTTCAATTAGGATTTCTAATTTAATTAGGTCTCCTAAAATACTTACCAATTATATATTTCTTGGATGAATGTGACACGGCTCGAGCATTTCGTGTGGGAATGTGCAATCTTAGTGAGATTCGAACATAAATGCCAAGGATGAGGCAATGAAGTGTCTTAAATGCTAAAGCTTACGGATGTTGTGTGTCATGTAATGCCATTGGGTGCAACCCAATTGTTTCTTCTTCTTCTTCTCCCTTTTACCAAAGTTTGTTCTTTACTCATGTCCATTTCCAAGGTGTCACTACTTCATGTCCGAAGTTTTGGAATGCGTCGATGAGGCACAACAATAACAGGTTCCATAAATTTCATGGTTTTATAGGCTTGTTGTGTTAATCACAAACGCGTGATTGCACACTCAACATTTTCGACCCAAGATATTCTCTAATTGCTAGCCAAAAAAGATTATTGTCATTATCAACATGTAAAGGTCATTTCTTTGGCTTTAGTATCTTTTCTTCCTTTGTTTAGTCAAGTTTCAAGATTACTATTTTGGTTCCTCCCTCTTTTCTTGGTTAATGGATTTGGACACACCACAGCCAATCTAGACTCGATCAACTCCTCTATGCCCTATACATACCTACCCCGATGAAGTTTGGAAACAATTCATTTGCTTTTGCAAATTCTAATAGCATATATTTAATTTCCCATATTATTTATATATATACATATATAATGCCATAACACTTACGCAGCTTCACCATCTAGTGAGCGTAATTAATCTCACATTAGGTGATGAGTGAGAGAATCATACAACTCCAAAAATAAGATTAACTAATACAATATCAATCGTAATAAAATCTAAAGATTATTTACATTAATCTTTCCTAAGAGCATAGAAAAGCTTTCCTTTTCACGTCACAGTAAATTGTATTTCACGTTGTTGGGAAGTCCTCCGGTAGGACCCATGATGTATGTGGTGAAGATGAGTGAGAGCACAGTGACAGCAACAGCTCCCCCCCCCCGGGGTTTCATTTCTGCATTGACCGAAGGACACAACTCTCAACCATGCATCCACGTTTCCCCCGATCTCCTCCTCTTCTTCTTGTCACCCAACCACCCCTGCAGCAATCGAACACCACAAAGTAATGACTCGTCGTTATCTCTAAAATAGTTTAGGCTTTTAAGAATCAATTTATAATATAGTTTTTTAACTTACAGTCAGTAAATCAATTAATCAGTAATTATATTAGTAATGAAAGGACGAATAATTCTCTAGACCTAAATATATATATAATTATTTATTAATATAATCCTATTTAATGTTGTAAAGTTCGTAGGTCTTCTATTGAATGGTCGGTAATGACCTCGGTAATATTCAATTAAGCTGATTAACTCGTATTTAATAGCCTCATGAAGCCTAATAATAGTTCACTCATCTCAGTTTTAATCTTATTAGGATTATGATTAGAGAACTATTGAGAGTACCAGGTGTTGTCGGAAGATGACGACATATGATTGACACGGGAGTGTCTAATTTATTACAATCTAATCATATGAACCTTGATCATGATATAATATTTTTTTTCAACCAATAATGATGCCTCATAATCTTTAACTCAGCCTACTCAAATATGACAACTCATCAATATATTCCCTGCATAAAGTTAAAGTTGTTTTAAGGTACTTTTCTTCATAACCAAGGAATACATTAAAAGAGTTGGTTAGTGAATATTTCTTCATGACCAAGGAATGCATTAAAGGAGTTGGTTAGCAGCTGTGAATACTTAATTTCAAAATTCCCTATGTATGAAGGGTTGTTTCATGCACTAGTACTTATGTTGATGTTTAGGACTTAGAAAGAACTTTAGAAACTGATGATATTTTGGCATAAGCTCTCTTGGAATGCTCCTATAAACTCTATATCTCTTGAATGCGTTCTTGAGTGGTGAGTCTTTTATTTTCTAGTTTTGTATCCTTGTTTAATTTTCGTTGAGTAGTGAACTTTCTATATCCCATTGTGATTTTAAACTTGGTATTGAGCTACTTTTTATTTTTATCAAAGTTGTTTTGTTAGTTCGCTCCTTTTCTATTCGACAAACTGTACTATCGGTTTTCTTTCGAATTCTATTCTACTACACCCCCCACACACCCCCCCCATTCTGCATCACACCGGTATCAGTTTGGTATTAGAGCTAAAGGCTAGAGATTATGGCAAGGCGAAATGGGAAAAGATATAGTTGGTGAAGATAGCAACCATGAAGATGATGCTGAGTCATTGAGGCTGCAACTATGAAGATTGCTGCATAGTCTATAAGAAAAGAATAAATAATCGAAGAACTTCAAAGTAGACAAAACCAGCATGAAAATGATATCCATGAATATACTTCTAATGAAGATACACCTCCTCTCCCAAAGGAGTCGAAAAGATGTCGGATAAGAAATATAGTCCAAGACGAGTGGTAGAATAAATATAACCCAAGATTGGAGATACCAAAGTTTGAAGGTAAAATCAATATTGATGACTTTATCGATTGACTTAATATAATAGAAAGAATTTTTTATTTTCATGAACCACCAGAACAAAAGAAAGTCAAACTTGTGGCACTAAAACTTAGATGGAATGCATCTTTTTGGTGGAAAAATCTGAAGAAACAAAGAGAACGTGAGGGGAAGAGTAAAATCGTGACATGGGAAAAAATGAAAAGGAAGCTGAGGAGAAAATATTTACTTCATAATTATAAGCAAGAGATCTTTCTCAAAATCCATGATTTCAAGCAAAAATATCTTAGTGCGAAGGAGTATGCTGCAGAATTCGATAATCTGATATTAAAAGGAGAGTTTGTGGAACCGGAAAAGTAAACTATTACAAAATACTTAGGAGGTTTGAAATATGAGATTGCTAAAGTGGTTCAACTGTAGCCATATTGGTCTTTAAATGATGTGAGCAAGTTGGCTTTAAAAGTTGAAAATCAATAAAAGTTTAAAAGAAGTTCTCGATACGGTTCAAAAGAAAGCTATATAAAATGAGGAAGTTCCAAGCCTACTGTCCAAAGCAAGATGATATCAAAAGTGCAAGAAAAGGATGAAGAATTTGTTGGCAGTAAAAAAATACCAAATTCTTCTATCCCAAGTGATCGAAAATGCTTCAAATGTCATGGTTTTGGGCATATTATTTCATATTATCCAAATAGGAGAATTGTAACTTTAGTTGAAGATCATAGTGATGGAGGAGAAGATGAAGCCGACGACGAACTAAAATATGATGAAGATAAGGAAGAGGTTACTTATGTAGATCATGGTTTATCTATTGTATTGAAATGTAGCTTGCAAGTGTCTTATGTGGCCGATGATGAAAGTTGGATGCGAAAAAATATGTTTCACACTAAATGCACTTATCTTAGCAATGTGTGCTTGGTGATCATCGACAACGGCAGTTTTGAGAATGTGGTTTCTTTGAAGATAGT